AAATTAGGCTGATGCTTTTCTTCCCTGTTAAATTAGAGCTTGATGTAGATCTGCCTTCTAACATATCCCTCCTTACCCCCACAACAGTCTACCCCACTCTCCATTCCCGGCCACCAGAGCTATAGCGAGTATGAAGAAATGCTGAGCTGGCTGGCTAATGGTAGAAAAGGACTACTTGCTGAGAGATCTACAGGACTGGGTGACAACCTGACTGACCAAGCAGGAGAATATATGGGACTGCACCGGATGAAAAAGGGAGAAAAACCTGTGACATGGGATTTAATATCTTGGCAGAGTCCAGATGATTGGTTGTCCCTTAAAAACTTGGGAAAAGCAATGACCCACACTAAGTAGAAATGTAGAAATGCCCCGCAGTCACAAGCGCTGAGGGAAGAAAGCAAGACACTCGATTGGGGTATACTGTGCAAGACTAAAAAGCTACTAACCTCCTCTGTTCTTAGGATACAGTGTTCTTGTCCATAGTGACAAGGAATGTGCTGATGGGGGTGCTCCAATATTCTTAATAAACTCAGTGGTGGGTGGTCATCTATAGGCCAAGGCCACTGGTAGGAGATGTTAGGATGGAAAAGGGTTTTCTAGTAGTTGTGGGGACAACAGAATTCCAAAATAGTAGCCAGATGGCAATACTTAACTCTCAAAAGCAAGGCGGGTATAATTATTATCATGAGTGGCAATGTCAGAGAGGTCGGACTCACAGAGAGCTAGGGAGGTGGTTAATACAGCATGGCATCCTGAGAGACATGACAAATGAACAGCAAATGAGAGTATTGCTCAATCTACAGAACCAAAGTAAATCCAAGATGGATGACCAGGATACTGACCACAGACCTGACAATAAAAAGTCTTGGTTACTTTCTCAGTTTTCAGACCTGTTCCAGTTTTCCAACCCAAATCCCACTGACTGACAGAAAAGTTCATGAAAAAGCTTTCTTTTTCATGCATGGTGCAAACACTGTGGCAAAAAAAAAAAAAAAAAAAAAAAAAGTAGTGATTTCCTTAGTCCTTCTCCAAAGCCTTTTACTCATAAAACTGTTCTCTGAAGGAAAGAGGAATACAAAACCTTTCAAGGACTGTTGGATACATGGTCTGAGTTGAGATATCCAGGGATCCAAAGCATCCTCATATCTCCTCTCTCAGGAGTCAGGTGCATAAGGGATAGGGTAATAAATGGAGTTCTGACTCAGGTGTGGTTTATGGTAGGACCCCCTGCTCCACACACTCCTCTGCAGGTAATTTCCCTGGTTCCCAAAGGAATAATGGAATGGCCAAGCTTAGGTACTGGCAGAAGCCACATTGGTTCCTTGACCTATGGGGTCAGGCTGTCATAGTGGAGAATGCCAAGAAGGATCTTGTGAAATCATTCTGTCCTTCCCAGCGAAGACAGTAAATAAACAACAGTATCATATGAAGAGATAGGGCAGATACTAGTGCTACCCTTAAATACGTAGGCAGGAATGGTGGTCCTCATCATAGGCCCATTCCATTAATCAGTATGAAGTTAAATGCTAAGTGTATCCTGGAGGATAACAGTGGGTTACCATACACTAACCAAGTAGTCGCCTCCCAACTGCAGCTATGAGCCAGATACAGTATCTTTGCTGGATCACATTAAAATGGCCTTGGATACAAAGTATACAATATCAATCTCATATTCTTTTCAAATCTCATTAGGAAGGGTGATCAGAGCAGTTTACATTTGCATGGCATAGGGCACAGTATACATTCACAGTGTTGCCTTTGAGCTACGTTAAATCTGCCCTCTCCTACAATATAGTCTTAAGGACCTGGACCATCTGGACATCCTGCAAAAACAAAAACACCTCATCTATTATATTAATGATGAGATGAGCAAAAAGTGGCAAATATACTGGAGGACTGGGTAAGACATGCAAGGGAGAGGACAGAGAAAAGGCTACGTGACACTTCAGGGGCTCACCACATCAGGGAAGTTCTTTGGGATCCGGTGGTTTGGTGCAAGTTGGGGCATATGCTCCCATTACTACCAAATTAGGACAAATTATTATCTCACATCTCACACAATGCCTGGAAATCCTTTTGGTTTTCTGGAGGCAGCATATTCCATATTTAGAAGTACTGCTCTTACTTATTTACTTGGTGACAAGGAGAATTGCCAGCAGATCCAGGCTGACGTGCAAGCATCACTGCTGCTTGGGCAGTACCATCAGTGGGCTATACAACCAGGTACTCCCTGGTATTAGAGTTATCTGTGGTGAGAAAGGATGTCACATGGAGAAGAGTGGAAGTACAACACAAAGCCCCGGGGTTCTGATGCAAATCTATGTGATCTGCAGCAGAGAATCATTTGGAGAAAAGATCCCCATGTGCTACTGAGCCCGGTATGGATTAAGCACCTAACTAAGGGGCCTAAGTGACCGTATGTCCAAATTTACCCACCATGAGCTGGGTTCTGTCAAATTTACCAAAGTTGGGAGGAACTAGCACCATTCCATCATAAGATAGAAGTGGTAACTCTGGAGACAGCAATGCACAGGGACAGAGAATACAGGAAACCTGCACAAACAAGTGGCCCAGATTCCCATGTCACCTACCATTCTGTACCAGTGTTTCTCTCTCAGATCACATTTCTGGCTGTGTAGTAGGTTTCTATTGCTGCATAAAAGTATTACTACAAATTTAGCAGCTTAAAACAACACATATTTATTATTTCACAGTTTTTGTGAGTCAGCACTTAGAATGTAACTTAACTGGGTCCTTCGTGTTTTCACAAAGCTGTAATCAAGGCATTGACTGGGACTGTGGTATTATTATCTGAGCATCAGCTGGGGAGAGATTAACTTCCAGCCTTGTGTGGTTATTGTCAGAATCCACTTCCTTGCAGACTGCCACACTGAGGGGTTTATCTTCTTGTTGGCTCTTAGAGACCCCTGATTCAGTTCCTTGTCACATGTCCCTTTCCATGTAGCAGCTCATAACATGGCCACTTGTTCTTCACAGCAAACAAGGCACAAGAGAGTGTCCTTGCAAGATGGGTGTTACAGTCTTATATAGTGTATCAAGTACACTTACTACTCATGTACATCTCATCATCTTCGCCATATTCCATTCATAGAATCAAATCACAGGACTTGCCTCACTGAAGGGAAGGGGATTACCCATGACAGTGAACACCTGGAGGAAGGGATCATGGGGCCACCCTAGAGGCAGCCCTTCACAGACTACATGGAGGACTCCTATGACTAGCTGACAGAGGAGGAAAAAGGCTGTGTGGTTCTTGGAGAGATCAGTTGGTATGTGGGTGTGAGACAAAAATGGATAGCTACTGTAGTGCAGCCTCAGTTAGGGGTCCGTCAGGGATTACCGTGAAGAGTATCCTCCTAAGGATGGTATCAGGCAGTACATCAGGTCATCTACTTGAAGAAAGAGAAATGGGCCAAGGCAAGGATGCACAGAGGCTTGTAGGCAATGGTGAACAGGTTGGCCAGTTGGTCAGGGACTTGAAAAGAGAAAACACTGGAAGATTGAGGATGAAGGTTTGTGGGAAAGAGGCATGTGGCTAGCGGACCAAGATAGTGGGCGTGGAATGTGAACATCTTTGTAACCTATGTTAATACTCGGAAGAAAGCATCACCCGTAGGACAGGCACTAATCGACCAATGACTCTTCCAGTTATCCTCAGCCAGTCTCTGCCTTTGGTCACCCTAGTGTTGGCACAATAAGGTCATGAACGGAGCTTCATAGCTTCGGAGGCTATGTGAGTCCAACAGCATGGGCTGTTCTAGCTACTGTGCTGCTGAAAGTTCAACCTGCCACGCACAGAAACTAGCATTGGGCACTCCTCTGCCTTCAGGGCTCCAGCTCTCAAGGAAAATTCCCAACCTTCCCCACAATGAAAGAAAACATCACTTGCTGCCACCAGAAACAAATTTCTGCTCTCTGCATTGTCCTAAAAATCCTTACTTCTTAGAGTGATGTTTCTCAAAAGGGTAACTCAGGCCTATAGCTTCCGAATCACTTGAGGGGCTTGTCACAAGCACTGATTTCCACCCAACCTACTGATTCAGAATCTCTAGGTTTGGTGCCTGGGAATCTTTATTTGCAGAACATAGAGATTTTGGTCACTGGCCTTTGGCTACACTTAAATATTCTAACTAAATTTATTCCAGGAAACAATACAGTTGTTATGAGATGGGGAAAGAATATATCAACTTAGTAGTTTCCAAAGTGAAATATATAAAGAACTGATACAACTTAACACTTGAAAATAAATACTCCAATAAGAAAATAGGCAGAAGACACGAACAGACATTTTTCCAAAGAAGACATACAGATGGGTAATAGACACATGAAAAGATGCTTAACATCACTTATCGCTAGGGAAATGCAAATCAAAACTACAAAATATCACCTCACACCTGTCACAGTGACTAAAATAAAAAACACAAGAAACAAGTGTTCGCAGGGATGTGGTGAGAAAGGAGCCCTCATGCATTGTTGGTGGGAATGCAAACTGGTACAGCCACTGTAGGAAACAGGATGGAGGTTCCTTAAAAAGTTAAAAATAGAACTACGCTGTAACTGTTACTCAGTATTTACCCCCCAAAATGCAAAAACACTAATTCAAAGGGATACACGCATCCCTATGTTTACTGCAATATTATTTATAATAGCCAAATTTGGATGCAGTCCAAGTATCCATCAATAGATCAATGGATAAAGAAAATGTGATATATGTATATACAATACAATATTATTCAGCTATAAAAAAGAATGAAATCTTGCCATTTGGAACAACATGGATGGAACTAGAGAGTATAATGCCAAGTGAAGTAACTCAGAAGACAAATACCCTATGATTGCACTCTTATGTGGAACTTAGGAAACAAAACAAGCAAAGAAAAAAAGACAAATCAAGGAACCGACTCTTTTTTTTAATGGTTTTTTTTAATTTTTATTTATTTTTTATGATAGTTACACACAGAGAGAGAAAGAGGCAGAGACATAGGTAGAGGGAGAAGCAGGCTCCATGCACCGGGAGCCCAACGTGGGATTCAATCTGGGGTCTCCAGAATCGGCCCTGGGCCAAAGGCAGGCGCCAAACCGCTGCGCCACCCAGGGATCCCAAGGAACTGACTCTTAACTATAGAGTACAAACCTATGGTTATCAGAGGGGAGGTGGGTGGCAAGATGGGTACAATAGCTGAAATTAAAGACTACACTTATGCTAAAAACAATAAAATAAAATAAAAACAAAAATAAATTTAAACAACAAAGTGGAAAATCGCTTTACCCTATTAGTAAGACAAACCTGTTATTCGGTCACCAATTCAGAAATACATTTATAGGATCTCTGAGAGCCTGGCACTATGCTCTAAGTTGTGATGGGAATCAAAAGCATAAAGTCTGGGGGCACCTAGGTGGCTTAGTCAGTTAAATGTCTGACTCTTTTGGCTCAGGTCATGATCTCAGGGTTGTTGAGATAGAGCCCTGTGTCGGGTTCCACACTGGGCATGGTGCCTGCTTAAGATTGTCTCTCTCCTTCTCCCTCCCTTTAAAAAAAAAAAAAAAAAGTAAAACATAAAGTTTAAATGAGAAGGAAAAAGTCAATACACATAAAACTTTGGACCTGAAAGGCCCAGAGCACTGTCCAGCCCCTTCTTTTATAAGAACCAGGTCTCCTCTGAGTCTGGCTCACCAAGGAGGATCTGATGAAATGTCACCAAGACCAATGCCAACAGCGAGGGCTCTAGGAATTCGCAGGGGCCCTCAGTGCACTGTGTGAGTGGGTAGTAGCAGGGCCTTGGGCTGGTCCCTGAGAGGAGATGAGACTTCTGGGACAGAATGTAGACTCAAAAGCATCCGGCAATGGGGAAAGGAGGTTTCAGGATCAGGAATATCAGGACCTCATGTCTGTCTAGCATTTTACAAAGCTCTAACAAGGACCAGATTATCACCCCAGTTCATTCCTATTCCACATTTAATCTTTGGGATTGCTGAGTTTAATAACCTTGTACACTCTGGGCAAGGTATACAGGGAACCCAGTGACAAGGATACTGGCAGCCGCCAAGAGATGTAGAGACAGGGCTTCTGGAGACAGCCAAGTGGAAGGAGTCTTGTGCCAGAGGGAGTTTACAGACACAGATGGGGTTCGGGGAGGGAAGAGTGTAGCCTGATGGGGGGGAAACACATCAGCATGATAAACCAAGGAGGGAGGCAGACACTGGTTTGGGACAACTACGTTTGCAGCCTGACCACCTATGATTTGGGAGGTTTCCAGAGACTGGGGAAAGATCAGGCCCACCAAGGAAGGGCTCTGGTGTGTAAGGATACAAGGCAAAGACCCAGTATGGGCAAACATCAGAGCATGAGGCCGGGATATGAAGGCTGCAGGCCCACTGTAGCAGCAAGACAATTCGTGCAAGTTGCACAGATAATTAAGAGTAGACCCAGGAACCTTTGAAAATTACTTACCTGCCTCTAAGTGAGCATTTTCAGTGGTGATTTGGAGCCTTGCCTGAGAGGTTCATTGATGGAGTGGAAGGAAATGAGAATGAGGAGGAAGGTAGCCTTAAATATCAGGCTGAAGTGTTTGGCTTTTATGCTGGTATAGGCAGTGGAAAGAGCCACTGGAGCTTGAGACCTGGTGTTATTCTCATTGCCTGGAAAACACCTGAACAAATAATGTTCTGGAGATGTGTGTTTCCCCACTGACTTACAGAGTTTGGGCTCATTTCCATTTCCTTGGTGCACACATGGAAGAATGGGGAATGGAAGGCTCACTGATACTGCTGCCGTCCATATTAACAGAACTAGCTGTCACAACTTGGACAGACTCAGAATCAAGGCACACAGGGAACACAGCATGGTAGGTGGGTAGGTGGGAGAGGACGCCAGGGCCAAATAAGTCAAGACTACAGAAACACCTTCTGAATATATGAGAGAAAAAAAAGATCAAAACATACATTTAAGTAGACAGTGTTTTATGTGTATGGTGGCCTTACTTCTTTAATATTTACTTAAATGTGTTTGTGTAAAATAAATTGAAATTCACTTCATTTTGGGACGCCTGGGTGGCTCAGCAGTTGGGTGTCTGCCTTCCAGCTCAGGACATAATCCTGGGGTCCCGGGGTCGAGTCCCACACTGGGCTCCCTGCGTGGAGCCTGCTTCTCCCTCTGCCTATGTCTCTGCCTTTCTCTGTCTCTCATGAATGAAAAAATAAAATCTTAAAAAAAAAAAAAATTGGCTTCATTTTGAGTGATTTTTTTTCCTTTCTGCCTGAAATTAGTTGGTTTTTTTTTTGTTTTTGTTTTTTGTTTAGATTTCATTTATATATTTGCGAGGGACAGCAGGAGCAGAGGGGAGAGAAAGAAGCAGACTCCTTGCTGACCAGGGAGCCCAACGTGGGGCTTGATCCCAAGATCCCAGGATCATGACCTGAGCCGAAGGCAGACACTCAACTAATGAGCCACCCAGGCACAACAAGCTTTTTTGTGAAGCATGCAAAAATTGCATGTGCAGGTAAATATTGTATTTTCTTTAAAAGAAACAGAAAATATTTTGAGACTTCATGTTGATTGATTTTCTTACCTTTTTTTTAATATAAAAAAGACACCAGTTCTCTCTTGATGTTTATTAGTAACTGTGATTCCTTTTGGTCTTAGATTGGTTGGAGAAGGAAAAAAACTTTCAGAGATATATAAGCGTAACTGTACAAATTTAAATTCTAGTTCACAGAGGAAAACTTTGCAAAAGGCACTGATTCAACCTAACAATCCAGACTAATCCTGAGACTCCTCTTCTTTTGACATCTAGGTTGCTAGTCTAGTGGGGCAGAGGAGACAGAAATTAGCCCTGTGGTTTAACAGCCACCAGGTAACAGCACGACGTAGGTGACAAGAGCACAAGTGCTTGAAGTCCTAGAGTTCCAGGCTCATACTCAGTTCTGTCCCTCTAGACAAAATCATTTACCTTCAACGTGACTTAAGTTCTTAATTTTGTATTTCACAAAATAGAGGTGACACCTTATAGTCTCTCTGTGAAGACTGAATGAGATGCAGTTCAGGTACTTTCATTCACATTAGCACAATCGTACTGTCCAATGTTCCCCAAAGGGACAAGAGAAAGCTCAGGCCCTCTGACAAGGAACAAGAAGCTTCTTTAAGGAAGCTCCAGCTCTCCCAGTCCAAGTAACTCTGTCTGTATGCTAGAGATTGTCCTAACATTTTCACAAAATTTACCTTGCTTTTGCTTGAGATGAGAGCGAAATCTGGAAGGAACCAAAACAACAAAAAAACAGTTTGACCATTTAAAATCTGTGCAGGAAGAGATGCCAAGGTGTTAGCAGGATCCAGAGTGGTTCCAATCTGCCATCTAGTGGACAAGAAGGGAAAGGACAAACTTAGAGCAAGATCACTGATCTTAAGATTTTGTGGATGTCTGTAGTTTTCAGAAAAGTATTTTCTGATCAATGTAATTCACACTCCCTACTGAATTTGCTTATTAATAGATTCATTTAACTTTTATAAAGTAAAACAACCCAGTATTCTAAACATTAAGCACTAAAACTAAATTCCCTAAAATGTTTATATTTACAGATTTTGAGTTTTGAAGATTGTTTGAAGAGAGTGCTCTTGAGTTCTTACCATCATGAGTTTTTCTGGTCCACCATTCCCATTTATACTATCCATCTCTATTTATTTGGTACTCTGCATTTATTTTGGCACATAGACTAGGAGTAGCTAGAGCTTGTTCATAAAATGTCTCCCAAAACACTGACCGAAATCACTGGGGGAAATAAGATTATTCTATTAATTTTTCAAAAATGTACACCAACTTAAAATGCTGGTGTAGCCAATATGAACATTTGTTAAGGTCTAAGTACTTGAATTAGTTTTTTGCTGATTTATGTATGCACATATTTTCTCTTTTTATTTCTAAGGTCATTTCCTTAAGTGTCTATGAGGATTTCCGTTTTGTCTAGGGTGAAGACATTGGCAGCCAAATCTCCCCAAAAAGTTAATGACTGGAGAATACCTGAAGTGGCCAGTGCTGTTTTGAGATATAATATATATATTTTAAATTCAAAAAATAAATAAATAAATTCTTGTTACTACTAACAATAATAGCAGGTGCTATTTATTGAACTGCTATGATGTGCCAGGCATGTTAATGTTCTTGATGCACATAGTGTTAATCCTCTCACTCTCTAAAATAGATATGGTTATCTTCACTATAGATGAAAAACTGATGCTTGTGACCCACTGGGCAAAATCCTGACTGTGCCAAATAATCACTGACTGGTTGACACTTTCATCCCTAGAGAATGAAACGTTTTGACTAAGGCCTATTCTCTAAGGTTGTGCCTGATTTAAGAGCTCCTTTCCTGGGAGCTGCGGGGCTTCCAGAGTGAAAAAGATTTTGTCTTGCCACCAAGTAGCCCAGGGTCTTATGGGAAACATAACCCCAAGGGCACAGAGTGGGATGGTATTGTATGATAGAGCCCATGCCCTGGAAGGGACATCGTGGCAGGCACCTATGGGACCTCCCACAAAACACCTTCTGCACTCTGTCCTTGTCTTCTTTCTCTGTTCTGCCTTTCCTGAGTCTCTACCATTTTCCTTCTGGTTCTCTTTATTTTCTTTCTCCTTCTGCCCTACCCTAGAAGGGTGCTTTTTTTAAAACTATGGGTTTTAAACCATTAGTAGGCCAAAAAAATAAATTCAGTATGTATAGGCCAGCATTAGAAAAAATGGAATTAGGGGTGCTTGCGTGGCTCAGTTAAGTGTGTCTTCAGCTCAGCTCATGATCCCAGGGTCCTGGGATCAAGCCCTGCATCAGGCTCCCTGCTCAGTGGAGAGCCTGCTTCACCTTCTCCCTCTGCCACTACGCCCTGCTTGTGCTCTCTCTCTCTCTGTGAAATAAAATCTTTAAGAAAACTTTTTTATTGCAATTACACAATTCAGACTCTTAAGGGCATCACTCCTAAGGAGGGTAATATGCTTTTTTTATTTTTTTTTAATTTTATTTTATTTATTTATGATAGGCACACAGTGAGAGAGAGAGAGAGGCAGAGACATAGGCAGAGGGAGAAGCAGGCTCCATGCACCGGGAGCCCGACGTGGGATTCGATCCCGGGTCTCCAGGATCGCGCCCTGGGCCAAAGGCAGGCGCCAAACCGCTGCGCCACCCAGGGATCCCCCAATATGCTTTTTTTAAATCTAATTTCATTTTTAGTTTAATTTAAAAAATTTTAATTCCAGTGTAGTTAACATACAGTGCTTTATTAGTCTCAAGGGTACAATACAGTAATCCAACAGCTGTAGACATTATTCAGCGCTAATCAAGACAAGCTCACTCCTATCTCTGAGGATGATGTTCTGTGTAAAACCTGTTTTAATAGGCATCCCTGTGTTTGCATATACACCGGGTCAAGATGTAAACTTTCTATCTTAAGACATTAGGAAAACTTTGCCCTAAAGTGGAGGCCTCCTCCCTTACCTGTGGAATTGCCAGGAAGGCCACAGGCGCTTGACAGTCGCCAGCAGGGAGGTGGCATCCGGGGACTGTCAGCGCTGGGAGGATCATCTCTCTCCAGGCTTAGGCAGATCCTTCCTGAAGGCAGGGAATGGCCCAGATGACCCCGAAATTCTGCAGTCTACCCGTGGCCGAGTGAGTGTGTGAGGTCCTCTGTGCCAGCCCTGTGCCTGGCTGAGGATCCCCGTCCCCTCGTGCTGGGCCCACAGGAGAGGGGAAAGCAGCCACCAGTGCCTGGTCATCATTTTGCCCCAGGTGCCACTTACCTGTGGAGTGGCTGGAACCGGCTGTCAGGTCTCTCGGGTGCAGCATTGTCCCCCAGCCCTGCTGCCCCCAAGACGTGGGTGCGCGGCCCCACCCCTGGCTTTGCAGCGGGTGGCTCTGGGGTCCCTGGCCCACCCCCACCCCCACCCCTCGGCCTTGTGTGGGGCACTGAGGCCACGAAGCCCTTGTGTTCAGGGGTGTGATGAGGGCATGCGAGCGTGCCACCTGATGGGAGATGATGGCAAACTAAATTAAAAAAAAAAAAAAACCTACTTTGTACCCCCCCCCCCAAAAAAAAACCAACCAACCAACCAACCAGCCAACCAACCAAGAATGAGGAAAGAACAGTAAGAGGACGCGTCGGCCGCGGCTCCCCCGACTCTCCTTGGAACCTCGGGACCACAGGCCTGAGCCAGCGTCCCTGGGGCGGCCACGAGGTTCGCGCGCAGACGCGGTGCGGGCGCCTGAGGACGCGCGGGGCCCCTCCCCGGACCACGGCGCCGCCTCCGTTCCCGCGCAGGCCGCGGGGGCGCCGACGGCCCGGCCCTCCCTAAGCACGGAGCAGCCGAGGGGCCGCGGAGCCTGCGGACCTGCACCCCGGCCGGCCGGGGGGAGCACCAGGACCGCCTCCCAGGGGCCTGCCCGCGGGGCCGCCGCCCCCCACGCCCCTGCGCGCCGCGGACAAGCGGGCAGCGGCTCCCCGTCCGGCTCCGGGCACAGACGGCCGCCAGCTCCGGGGCTGCTGCCCACGCGCCTGCGCGAGCGCCGGGACCCGGGGGGGGGGGGCTGCTCCTCGCGCGCCTGCGCGAGCTCCGGGACCCGCGGCTGCTCCCCACGCGCCTGCGCGAGCGCCGGGACCCGGGGGGGCTGTTCCTCCACGCGCCTGCGCGAGCGCCGGGACCCGGGGCTCCTCCTCACGCGCCTGCGCGAGCGCCGGGACCCGGGGGGCTGTTCCTCCACGCGCCTGCGCGAGCGCCGGGACCCGGGCTGCTCCCCATGCGCTTGCGCGAGCGCCGGGACCGGGGGCGGGGGGGCCTCTTCCCCACGCGCCTGCGCGAGCGCCGAAGACCCCCCCCCCGGGGCTGCTCCGCTAGTACCAGCGCCTGCGCCGGGACCTAGTGCGGACGCCCGCGAACCTCGGGACTGTTCACGCGCCTGCGCGAGGGCCCTACGGCGCGGGCGGGTGAGCTGGCTGTGGTGCAGCCCGCCGCGGTGTCGCTGTAGGGCCGAGGCTATTCCGTTTCGGGGCGGGTTGGGGCCATGTTGACTTATGAGAAATTTACGTTTAGGTTTTTTAGTCTTAAAATTAATTTTAGGGGCACCTGCGTGGCTCAGCGGTTGAGCATCTGCCTTCGGCTCAGGGCGTGATCCCGGGGTCCTGGGATCGAGTCCTGCATCGGGCTCCCTGCAGGGAGCCTGCTTCTCCCTCTGCCTGTGTCTCTGCCTCTCTCTCTCTGTGTCTCTTATGAATAAATAAATAAATAAAATCTTAAGAAAAAAAACACGTTGACCATTGACTAGCCTTGTGCCCACTACAGAAATAGACCAACATTTTTAAAGCTTTTTAAAAGAAAGAAAAAAAAAGAATGACTCTTCTCTGGGTCAAACTTTTGTCATCTTTCCATTTGTCTAGATGAGGAAGAATACAGCACAATGAGATAAAAAGGACCTAAACCTTTTGGGACCATTATTCTCTATGGTTTTATAATATAGCCTGTTGTCCCCTTGAGGTAACATGCTGTGACTGCTGTGATCGGGCTAAAGGCAGCCGTGATTCTACAAAGTTTGGTGTGTTCCAAATGCACATGAAACCCTCGCTGTGCATTATGCAATATTTAGAGAAAATAGAAATCGTCGAGATCAGCATTTTTTTCAGATTTGTTTTTCAGAACCAGGAAGAGAATGCAAGAAATCAGCAATTTTCTCCTTCAATTTGCAATATAGGAGAAAAGAAAACACGTAGCCAGAATTCTTACAGGAAGGAAACCTGCAAACTCTTAATAACCCCTTCATTTCCCCAACTGTTGGACTGCAGTACTCTTGTCTTTGTGGAATACCGCATGGCGTGTGGGCTAGTAAGATGCAGCAACAGGGAGCAACAGTCCAGTGAGTCAAACAATACATTTATTTCTGTCTCATGGAATAGTGCAGGATCGGTGGGAAGCCTGCCCTACTCCGCACATTCAGGATTCCCAGGCTTCTTCCATGTGGGTTTCACACCATCCCCCTCAACATCATCTTTGTCTGTATGGTCAAAACTAGGTCACAGGCATATAGTTAATAATACATATTGTATACTCGGAAGTTGCTAAGAATAGATCTTAAGCATTCTCACCCCCCCCCCCCCCCATAAAAGAAAAATTTTGTCAGGCAATGAAGGTATGAATTAATTCCATCTTGGTAATAATTTCACAATGTGTATGTATATCAGATCATAGTACTGTGCACTTTAAATATACACAATTATAGGAGCACCTGGGTGGCTCAGTTGGTTAAGTACCTGCCTTTGGGTCAGGTCATGATCTCAGGGTCCTAGGGTCAAAACCAGTTTTGGGCTCCCTGCTCAGCGGGGAGTCCTCTTCTTCCTCTGCTCTTCACCCCTCTTATTCTCTCTTTCTCTCTCTCTCTCCCCCCAACAAATAAATAAATCTTAAAAAATATGTATTTGTCAGTCATTTCTCAATAAGCTTGGAATAAGAAAGAAACATGTAGTTCTATGATAAACAACCAATCCCCAAACCCTTCCCCCAAAACGCTGAGTCACAGGCATATCTGCATTCCAGTACCTAGGTAGAGAAGAAATTGGAGAATCACACGTGCAATATTTTAACACACAGCCTGGAGGTAGCACACATCACCTTCTCTCATATTCTATAGGTGAAAACTTTGTCATGTGGTAACTCCTTGCTTCAAGGAAGGGCAGGAATTACAATTACTGATAATGGAGGCCATTTCCTGGCTAACAGTCTGTTAATTTGTGCCATGGTCCCTCAACAAGCCTGCAGGGAAGCAGGGACCAGAGGAGTCCAGGTCTTCTAACTCTTGATCCACAGTTCTCATTGCCACACAAGCATTTCTGTACTCAGCCCACATATATGAAGTCCTCTTGTATGTCAGGCTTCATGTCACAGTACAAGGATAGAAAGTTTTAGAAAACACAGTCTTGGGCAGCCTGGGTGGCTCAGGGGTTTAGCACCGCCTTTGGCCTGGGGCGTGACCCTGGGGACCCAGGATCGAGTCCAATGTCGGGCTCCCCTTGAGGAGCCTGCTTCTCCCTCTGTCTGAGTCTCTGCTTCTCTCTCTCTCTCTCTGTGTGTGTGTGTGTGATGAATAAATAAATAAAATCTTTTAAAAAAGGAAACACAGTCTCCTAATTACATATTTACTTTAGTATCAGGCTTTACAAATAAATAAACTTTCAGGTATGACTTTAATAGTCATGTCTTATAGCTTTGGATCATGCTGCACTTGGTTGTCAAAAGGATACATATTCCTGATGAATAAACATATACGGTGAGCAGCAGAGTAGAGATTCCTGAAATACCCCCCAATGCATTTGAAAAGTGAATGTATGAAAATAAGAATTGAGAAAAATAAATATGCATTAAGATGTGTGTTGGGTTCACCAAAAGTATATATATATAAAATGAAGCTGGATTTTACTTCATTTTTTAAAACATGAGGAACTGCTTATGTGAAACTCTAAAGCTGAGTACCATATTTTCTTCCAGTTGAAGCAGGAAAGCCCAGATGACCCTACCCAGGCTGGAGAGCCTCCACTTACATACCAGTAAGTAATGGTCCAATCAAAAACTGACAAATGTATCTGAAAGTCAATCATAACGCTTCTCTCACTTCCAAAGTCCCACGCTATGAGAATCAGAAAATCCCACCTAAAAAAACTCTTCCAAGGACTGTCTTAAGAGTTCTTCTTTTCAGTATGTAAAAGTTCACTGTCCTTTCAACCCCCTTCTAGTCTCTACTGGAATGAAAAGGTGACAGTAATGACTCCCTTAGAATAGTAAGCTTTGGCTAAACAGCCTCTGATTAACTGTGTAAGTGATCTTTGTTCATTTGACAAAATAATTGTAAGTTGGTCAAACAGTGAATTAAAGGAAAAAGAAATCATAAACATTCTAGAAAAAAAATATTTTAAAGAATAATTTTGGAATGGGCGGAATCTTTAGGCAAAACACAAAGTCCAGAAAACAAAAGGAACATGTTAAAAATTAGGTTAAACAGGTAGCGAAAAATTTTTGTATAACATACTTTTTAAAAGGCAAAAGATACATTTTCAAAACATATAATGAAGGACTAATCTCCTTGATATACAAAAAACTTTTAAAAGTTAATAAAAATAACTCAATAGAAAAAAATGGACAAAAATGAACACAGCACAATATGCAGTAAAAGAAATACATATAACTAATAAATATATAAAAATATAACCTCATGCATAATCAAGAGATACAAATTAAAATAAGATACTTAAAAATCTATTAGAATGTCAAATATTTATTTATTTTTTATTTTTTTAAGGAGGGAGAGAGAAAGAGAGAGAGTTAAGATGTGCATACATCTTGATCCTGCAATTCCACATCTATGTGTTTATCATAAGTATTTACTTACACTAATGAGCAAAGATATATATGTACAAGTATATTCAAGTTTTTATGTGTAGGTATTTTGGGGGGATGAATGCATGGGAGTGTGGCTGCTGTTTAATTTCTTAAGAAACTGCTTAACTATTTTCCAGAGTGGCTGTACCATTTTCCATTTCTACTGGCAGATTATGAGTGATCTATTTTTATCATGTTCTTTTCCAAATTTAGTATTCTCACTATTTTTTTATGTTAAAAAAATTTGTGCTCTTTATTTTTCCAGCCTTTAAAAAAAAAATCATTCAGTGATACTTAGGTGGCTCAGTTGGTTAAGCATCTGCCTTTGGCTCAGGTCATGATCCCAGGGTCCTGGGATCAAGGCCTGCATCAGGCTCCATGCTTAGCTTCTCCCTCTCCCTCTGCCTGACACTCTCCCTGTTTGTGCTCTCTCTGTAAGATAAATTAAAAAAATATTTTTAAAAAAATCATCCAAAGTCCATAGCTTATATTAGAATTCACTCCTTATGTTTTTTGATCAAAGAGAAACCACTTTTTCATGTTTTTTGATAAATGCATAATATCTATCCACCATTATAATATTTAATATTTTTAATTTTAGCCATTCTAGTTGGTGTGTAGTGATATCTCATTGGTGGTTTCAATTTGCTTTTTCTTAATGGTTAATAATGTTGAACACCTTTGCATGTGCTTATTTGCCATCCATATATCTTATTTTATGAAATATTTTTCATATATGTTGTCCATTTTCTAATTGGATTTTTTAAAAAGATTTTATTTATTTATTCATGAAAGACACACAGAGAAAGAGGCAGAGAGACACAGGCAGAGGGAGAAGCAGGCTCCATGCGGGGAGCCTGACGTGGGACTTGATCCCACATCTTCAGGATCATGCCCTGGGCTGAAGGCAGCACTAAACCCCTGAGCCACCCAGGCTGCCCTCTAACTGGGTTTTTTGGTTTATTTTGAGAGTTCTTTATACAATCTAGATACAAATCATTTTTCAGATATATGGTTTGCAAATATTTCATCCCAGTTTGCAGCTTGCTTTTTTTTATCCTCTGAACAGGGTCTTTAACAGAGCAAAAGTTTTAATTTTGGAGGCATCTCAATTTCCATTGTTTTCTTTAATGGATCATGGCTTTGTGTCATATGTAAGAACTCTTTCCCTAGCTCTATTCCCTGTATTATTTTCCTAGCATTGCCATAACAAATCACCACAAACTTGATAACTTGAGGAAGAGAAAATTATTTTCATCTCCTATTGTGGGAGGATATTCATTTAAATTATTTTTATCTATGCCATGGCATAGGAATAGATATATTCCTAAATCTAACAATTATTCTTAAGTTTTGCCCCCTTTTTTTGGCAATTAGCTTTGATTCCTTGGTGTAAATTCTTCTATTTGTTGAAATTGTGGCCTATGTCAGATTATGTCTGTTGGTACTTAGCCCCATATCCATTTTTATTTTATTTATTTATTTATTTTTTTAATGATAGTCACAGAGAGAGAGAGAGAGAGGCAGAGACACAGGCAGAGGGAGAAGCAGGCTCCATGCACCGGGAGCCCGACGTGGGATTCAATCCCGGGTCTCCAGGATCGCGCCCCGGGCTAAAGGCAGGCGCCAAACCACGGCGCCACCCAGGGATCCCCCATATCCACTTTTAAATAATCCCCTTTATTCCTGAAGCTGTGTGTCTGAAATAACATATTCTAGTCTCCCTTGCCGGATGAGCTCCAATTAGATTCTGCAAAGGCAAGACTGTTGTGTAAGATTGACAGGGGGTAAAAGGGAGAAGCTATTATGTTTCTGGCCATATCCCTGGCAGTGTCAGTGGCCCTGGTTGCCATTCAGTACAGTCATGGAGGCTCTAGCACTACAGACTGAGTGTAGACTAATAGGCTACGGCCTATGGACAGAGGTGCTTCTGGATCTCTGGGCGACACCATCTCCTTTCCTTTGCTTCTCCAGCATTTCCAAAATTATTGTGGGAAATTCTTTGACTGATATTGGGTGTGGTCCCAGGACACAGGTTCTCAAAGATACGAATCTAGGGTTGCTTATTGGAACTGGCCTCCTTGCCAATGGAAGTGCATTACTATTAGTCCACAGCCTGAGTGGCAAAACATATACTTAAATTAGTATCTGAGGTTGCCTTAGGTGAAGTGCAGTTATAGCCAAGTCTTTTTCCTTTTATAGCCAAGAATTTTTTTTCCTTTCTTGCCATTTCTAGGGATTTGGGGATGGAGCAGAAGTTTCCAGGGTGTGCTCCAATATTCTGGATTCTTTTTCAAAACACGGTAATGATGCTTCATTATTTCAATTAAGATTATGTTTTAAAAATCACAATTAAGCAAAAAATGTATGGCAATATTTAGCCATACTTATGGGAAACTAATCATGTGCCCTGTTCTTTCAATATCCCAATTCACAAGCTGATGGGAGATTGAACTGCAGACATCATACCCTAGAGGAAATGATCACATTTATTTATTTCACTCTAGGTAGTAACAGTTCCGTCCTGGGAAAAAGAGTAGCCTCGAGGCATTCCTGGCTGAATGCTTTTCAGTTACGGTCTCTAAGCCAGCATGCCACAGAATTGCCTCTTTCCACACAGTGACCTTTGTGGTGGATGGCAGTTTTCCCTGAGGTTTCAAAATGACAGGCTTTCACAATGTCATTGGCTGACAACCAGACCCAGCCCAGTCCTGGTGTGTTTTTGGGGCTAGAGGCATTCCACCTTGTGCAACAGTTAAAGCCTGCTGTAACCAGCTGCATTCCCATAAAGCCGGGAGAAAATACTTTTTTTTTTGCCAAAGCTACACTGAAGTACAAGTGGGGATCTTAGGGTCTCACAGTCCATCAGGAGGAGTGAGGGACATGAGTTATTAGAAAGCATACTGGTTTTCGACTCAGATCTGGGTTCAAATCTTAGATCTGTGCCTTGGACAAGTCACTTAACCTCACTGAACTCCAGAGGCTTTTTTTGTAAAATATGAGACAGCCATAGCAATCCTTAAAGGGAGATTAAATATGATCACTTACCTATCCATTGATTCAACACTTTGTATTGCCTACCTTGTACCAGATCATATTCTAGGGGCCAGGGGATACAACACTGGACAGGAAAAGCGCCTGTTCTCATGAGGTTCCCAACGTAGTGAGAGACAGACAGATAGTAACACAACCAAAAGTAAATAAGCAAATGCCACAATAAAAACAAAAACAGTGATTCAATTGAGAGTAACTGCAGCTTCTCTGTTTTCTGCTTGGTCCTACTTACCTGGTAAACTCTATTAAACCTTGATTCCCCTGGTCCCTATCTAAGTCAGTGGGCCCTTGGAAAGGGATTCATCACTCCAATCCCAATGGCCTAAAGTGACCTCTCCAGAAAATATGTATATTAGCCAAAGGCAAAGGCCTGAGATCAGACTTTTACTTGACTTTGCTGTGTACTTTTAGGCTCTGTGGGGCCAGCAGAGATGGTGTTTGGGGGCAGGCAGACACTTGCCCAGCCTCTGCCTGAGAACATTGTTTCCTTTTTTTCTTTTAAAGATTTTATTTATTTATTTTTTTATGAGTGACGCAGAGAAAGAGGCAGAGACATAGACAGAGGGAGAAGCAGGCTCCCTGCGAGGAGCCCGATGCGGGACTCAATCCCACGACCTGAACTAAAGGCAGATGCTCAACCATTGAGGCACCCAGATATACTGAGAACATCCTGTTTCTGACTATCTTGTAGAAGTTGTTACTGGGATCTTGAGCCCTTGCTGGGGTCATGATTTAGTGCCCCAGAATTTGTGGCTTGCAGGAACCACTCTGATCTTGAGTTTCAAAAACAGAACATGAGTTTGCCAAGAAAGAGTCCAAGGTGATGAATGTTGCCATTTCAAGCCTAAGCCTTCTAGGAACACCTACATGGGTGGCAGCTGGTGGTCCTCCAGGCTGCTCCCAGCCTAGAGCTGGGTTCCCCAATAGGTAAAGTCAGCAATATGCTTAAGGGACTGGCAAAATAAGGGCTCACATACCCACAAAAACTTAGTTTTCAAAATTTATTCTGAATTTTGGAACCAGAAAATCTTGAGAGATTGTATTCTATTATCACATTTTAGGAAAGTTTTCTGTTATGTTGAATTTGAGTTACATCAGGTTCAGAGCTCTATAACCTTTTGCAATGCGGAAGCTCTAAAGGGCTTACTCTGGCTCTGCCCCCACACCACTCCAGAAACTTCCCTTCACCTTGGTTCTCAGAATTAACCCACAAAGTCTTCCCCAAATTTGGGGTCCAGCCCAGAGAGGGGAGGATGTGTTCTATTTCTTGTTTTATTGTAACCCCTCTGACTATTCCCCCTTCTGAAGTGCTCCATGTGCACCACACAATCTCACACTTGGTCATGCACAGCGGGCAGGAGTGTGGTGGTGGTAATTGGTGTCCCTGACTTATTACGGCAAATCGATGGGGGAAAGGGGCATCTCCTGGATCACTGGACAGTTCACTTTACAGGAGGAAGTTTCTCCCTCAGATGTCGAGATAGCTTATTTTCCTCTTTCTGGTCTTGAACCTTGCCCTACCTTCTGTTGAGGTTGTAGGAAGCAAACGTAAGAGCCAAGAGAATCTGAGTGCTGTGACTGAGGATCCACTTGGCTTCCCAAACCCGAGAAGGTTTGCAGCAGGTTCCCCAGAGTGGAGACCTGAAGCAGTTGCCAGGGACAGGGTGCCCTCCCATTGGCCTCTACCCTGACAGGGCTGGCCAATGGGAAGGGACAACTTTGGGGTGGGGATTGCCTTCCCCCTTGAGTACCAGACTGCTGAGACTGGATCATTTCCTCATTTCCATCCTGACTGCAGTTTGTGGGTCTGATTCTACACCTGAGGGTAAGAACAAGTCGATTACAGTTCCCAAGTAGGTCGGGAGGTGTGTGTAGGGGGGCTGCCTTGCAATGGAGCCTCTGGCTGGGGTTTCTGCAGGCTCTCTTGTCATAGCAAGGCACAGATGGGTACGGCAAAACTCTGGCCAGGGCAGCACTGGCGGAGTCAGATAGGCCTTGGGCTTCTTCCTTGGTTCTCCCACATCTGTAAGAGAAAAGGAACTGTTCTTCTGATCAGAATGCCTGGGGCCATCTTGAATTTTGCCCAATTCACTCTGTGGCAAGATGCCTACCCAGAGAAAAGGTTGGAGTCAATGAGGAGGGAGGGATGGCCCAGTGATAGAGTTCAGTCAAATAAGAAGGGAAGGAAATGACGAACTTCTCAGGTTGACAGGTAGGCAAAGAAAGAAGCACATGGAAAGGCAGCTTGGGGAAAGCCAGCGCTCAGGCTGAGTCTGGAACCCAGCTCTGCCACTTGATTCTTCTCAGCAGATATTGATTGAGCAGATTCTATAAGGCCAGACACCGGGTAGAGTTAGTGAAGTACAAAGATGAGTGAGACATAATCACTCCCTGGATTTGAGGGAATCTGTAAATATGGAGATACCTACACAGATGTGGAGATAGTTCACAGGATGATTGAGACACTCAAATGAGATACAGTGAGCTTGGTATATACTGAAAACCTATGACAATCTTATAGAAGACATTTTCTGACAGCAACCAGTGGGTCAGCCTGGCCTTTGCCAAGCCCAATCCTGCTGGCCCCCACGAGCGCTGCATCTGAGGCATCTGGTTGTTTTCAATGTCAAGGCAGAGGTCAGAGCAGGAGGGATTTTAGAGATCAGCCCAGCCCTCTTGTGTCAGTGGGTGCAGGTCCCTGGTCTGGAGAGGTTCTGGGTTTCAGATCCAACCTCAGAGGGGCTGCAGCGCCTCACTCCCGGTGACTCCTCCCATTAGGTGTAAGGCTGGCTCCTCCACGCAAGGTAGGTGAGTGACGGGGCCCTTGTTGGTAGAATGTGCCCAAAGGACCAGGAGGGGGTCAGCTTTGTTCTGGAAACACAAGCAGAGAGAGAGCCCTGCAGTTTAATGGGCAGTCCTTGTAGTCTCCCTCCCTTAATTCTTGAGGAGTTGTAAAGAGATACACAGGACTTGCTTCTTGTCCTTTCTAAGGTGGTTAAGGGGACAGACTTTCCATGGACTCCTTGTCAGGACAGGAGATTAGTGTCCCCACTTAGCTGAAGTCAGGAGGTAGAAGCTTTGGAGTGCAGACGTTTTCAATCAGGAATTTTTTCACGTGGAGAGTGACTGGATCCTAAAAATGCATTGGAGGGATGTGCTGCTATGCTAGTTCCTGGAGGGTGTGTGTGTGTGTGTGTGTGTGTGTGTGTGTGTGTGTGTGTGTGTTGGGCGTGGAGATGCGGTTTCCAAGTAATCCTCCTGGGAGCCAGCCTGAACTGAGTTGGTTCCTGCTTCTGTCATTCATCCTTAGGTTGTAGCAGGCGAAACCATTTTTAACCTTTAAAAATGGAAGTTTCTTTTTTCTTTTGGATTTTTTTTAACCTATGAAAGACGCAGAAGGAGAGGCAGAGACATGGGCAGAGGGAGAAGCCGGCTCCCCACGGGGAACCTAATGCGGACTCAATCCCAGGACCCTGGGATCATGACCTAAAAGCCAAAGGGCAGATACTCAACCACTGAGCCACTCAGGTTCCCCTAAAAATGGCAATTTCATAGAACCCACAAGAGTTGCCCACATGATCTTTTTTCTTTATTTTTTTCCCCCTCCCAGCTGTTCAGCACTTCTACTAAGAGTTGTGTGATCTTAAAGGCAGCATCTTGGTCTCTTCAAGTCTCCGATTCTTCTCTATAGTGGAAGCAAGAGCAGGGCTATGGGGGAAGTTACATGAAATAAAAGTTAAAGTGCCTTATCCAATTTCTACTCCAATGTACCCTTGCCGATTTCATGTCCCTCATCTTATGTGATCACATTTTAGCAGGTTAGGAAGCTGAGTCTGAGAAGGCTTTTTAGAGGCCTTGTAGCATGATGGGAAGCTCACTGGTTTGGAAGTCAGAACAGGAATGTCTGAGGGATCATGTCCTTAATCTCTTCTTGGTTTCCCCATCTCTAAAGTTGGGGTTATTTTCCTTGCTTCATGGACTCTTGTAAAGATTAAAATACATAATAGATAAAATAAATAATGGGTACAAGCTACTAGTGTGGGAGCTGGCCTCTATGAAGATCTAATAAATGCACCCTTTCCCTTCTCGTTAACCTCCCATTTGTAAAAGGAGGACAGGGGTGAGATGATTCTGGGGTTCATTTCGGCTCTCAGTGATCTGTGCTTTAGTGCCCTTTCCTACTGGAAGAGTTGGCACCAGATTTGGTGGCCTTTCCCCCCTCTACTGTTTCCTGTCAGTCCCAAAGGAAACCCCATTCTGCATTTCACAAGATTCTGCTGTTGTTATTGAAATTTCAGCAGGTCAAAGTGGAATTTCTTATATATTCTAAATATGAAAAGAAGAGATCATAATATGGCCCTTTAGGATCCAGAGAACATCGTGGCCATCCCCTAATATAGTTTTAAAAAAGAAGAGATCCATGCCTATACACGGTATGCTGTGAAAGCCAATGCCATTGAAAGAACCCAGGCTTTGGGTTTTAAATTGCACCCCTGCACTCTTTCCCTTTTCATGCATGGGCAGAAGTTACTAATCCTCTCTGGTCCTGGGAGTTCTCTTGTGGCAGTTGTGTCCTACCTCCTGGAGTAGTAGGGATGGAAAGAGATGAAGGAGCAGGTGGCCGTACAGTGGTGGTCTACAGCAGGTGGTCCGTAAATATTTGCTAGTTTCCCTTCTCTTTACTTATATGTGTGGAAGCTTATAAAATACCTCATACTTTTAGTCAACTGATACAATAAGATTGTGAAATAGGATAGGTAAGGATTAATATCATTAATAATCACATTTGCAGGCAACGAGCATGAGATCTGGGAGGTGAGGTCACCCAGTGTGTTATTGGTGGAGCCTAGGCTAGAAGCCAGGGCGCTTGCATTATAATCTGAAGGGCTTTTCAAGCTATTTTCTCTTATGTCCTCCATTCCATGGAGTGAAATATGAAAAGGCAGAAATGTGATCCTGATGCTTTTTTTTTCTCCTCTGAAGTATGCCCAGGGGTCCATTTTTGGGGTTTGGAAGACCAGAATTCAATTTCCAGCTCTTTTTGCATTTAAAAGCTCTAAGATCTTGGACAAGTCACTTAACTTTCCTGAAACTCACTTTCCTCATCTCTAAAATGGGTACAGTCATAGCTAACATTTATTAAGCACTGACATGTGCCATGTGCCATTCTAGGTGCTTTATATGGATTTTATGCCCTTAATCCTCCAACAAATATATGAGTAATACATGTTACAGGTAAGAACAAATCATTCTCACCCAAGCTCCAAGATCATAGAGCATGTGATCCTGTTCTATTTCATATTGTTTCTCAAAATAGTTGTGAGGATTAAATGAGACATTAAGTGACACATGGAGTTCTGTAGAAACAGAATTATAAGTGGAACTTGGGGTCCAGCTTCACGATCCACATAAATGTTTTCTTTACAGGCACCATTGGGTCTTATATTATGGTTTCATTAATTAATGTTTTCCCCTGTAGAATTAGAAGTCTTTCCAAATGTAAGTGTAACAACTGCCATATCTAAACAAAGAACACGGGATCCCTGGGTGGCGCAGCGGTTTGGCACCTGCCTTTGGCCCAGGGCGCGATCCTGGAGACCCGGGATCGAATCCCACGTCGGGCTCCCGGTGCATGGAGCCTGCTTCTCCCTCTGCCTGTGTCTCTGCCTCTCTCTCTCTCTCTCTCTCTCTCTCTCTCTCTCTCTCTCCCTCTCTGTATGACTATCATAAATAAATAATAAATAAAAAAATTAAAAAAAATAAACAAAGAACACAATTTTGGAATCCATTTTTTTTGAGAGTAGTGTCTCTGCTCTGACCTCTAATTGTTATCAACTGCTGACTTTTCCACCCAGAACTAAGGATAGAAGACAACTTTCTTCTGCAATCAGAGTCCGTTCTTAGCATCAGAAATTTCTGAGGATCACGTACCGATCTTCACCCCACTTCTCTTCTCAGTACCTCCTCCTCATGCCACTGTCATGGTACCCGGACTGCTTATCCCTGTTAGTGGAGAAATCCATCCATAATACTGAAGTGTTGAGAACAGAATGCCTTCCCTTGGGCTGAGAGAAGAGAATCTTAAACCAGAGAACTCCAGAGACCTTCTGACTTTACATTCCCCCCAACAGTTTGGAAAAGCCAATCTTCTCCTATCTTTGGGTCCTCTGTAGCTGTCCCCCACCAGTTCTCATGTTCTGGGCTCTCTCTTCCTATTTCTTTGTGGAAAAGAGCACAGCCTCCTTGTTTCAGGAGAAAGCAAGCACACAACCTTTCAGAGGTCTTCTCGGGACTTGGAATGCTAATTCCAGAAGAAAGGATGAAAATGACAAATAATGGGAAACTTTGAATGCATATTAAGTCTTATTCATATGAAGTGTTCTTCCTAAATACGAAAGCGGGCTTGGCTGGTCTCTCCTCCTTGCCTTCTAATCTAACTCACCTCTTCTTATTTTGGGACAAGCCAAGCCTAGGCTGTATCTCATTTCATTTCCAGCAGCTATGGACTACACTCGCCTGAGCACTTGAAATCCAGTAGAGGGCGACAAAGGTGTACATAGATGGTAAGGGGCGCGTTGGCTAGAGATTCACAGCTACAGAGGACCCTAGGGGCAGTGCCTGCTGCTGTGTGGTCTCTCTCTGGCCCCTTCTTCTATCAATCCATCTCCTTCTCAATTCTCACTTACTTATAAGATCATAGTAAAACTGATATTTACTAAATAAATGATGCAGCAGCTTAATAAAGAGTGGAAAGATGAACTAAAGGTGTCTTTAAACAGCTAGTCTTCAAATAGAAATCATTTGAGTTTTTTTTAGATCACAAAACAAAATATTGAAGGTGAATTAAAGAGTGAAATTAAAATATATCAAGCAATAGAAGACAAAAAATAGAATATTTTCCAAGACCTACAAGGGCTAAGAAGGGTTTACAACTTAGAAGCAAAGAAAAATAAGAGTTGTCTCTAAAAATGAAAACTTCCATCACTTAAAAATCAGGGTAGACAAAAGAATAATCTACAGAATAATCACCAGAGAAAACAGGTGTGGCATATATGATAAAGTGTAAAAAGAGGTCATACAAATTGATTCAAAAGCACAGTGTGGGTTGCTTTGGTGGCTCAGTTAGTTAAGCATTTGCCTTTGGCTCTGGTCAAGGTCCTAGGGTCCTGGGATCAAGTCCCACATCGGGCTCCCTGCAGAGCTCTCTTTCTTCCTCTCCCTCTCCCCCTGCCGCTTCCACTGCTTGTGTGTGCACTCTCTCTCTGTCAAACAAATAAATAAAATCTTAAAAAAAAAAACTAAAAAAGAAAAAGAACATTGTGTCCCTAATAAATTAAGTAACCCAAAACACTAAAGGGTGTATCATGAATGAGGAAATTAAGTTAGGAAATAGGCCTTTAATAAAATGTGCAACTCACTATTGATCAAAGTAGCAAGGTGCCTTTTCTTTTGTTCATTAAATAGCAATAACAGAAATAGGTTTTTAAAATTTTGCTGGTGAGAATAGTTAATAGCCTTTCTTAATCACACACTAACACACTACCTAGTAACAGTGTAACGAACTGCAGTTTGGAAATACACATCAAGAGCCTTAAAAATGTTCATAGATTTGGGCCAGTGATTTTACTTCTGGGAATAGGTCATAACTATATAACTTGGGGATAAGCCATATGACCAAGGATATAAGTTATGGATTTTAAAATAATACTTTGAAATGGAAGTAAGCTAGAAGTTCAACAAAATAGGAATGGTTAAGTATATTTTGACTGTTTCCATTTGATGAACTAGCACACGCACATTTAAAATGAAGATTATGAAAAAAAATAAAATGAAGATTATGGGCACCTGGGTGGCTCAGCTCAGGTCATGATCTCAGGGTCCTCAGATCGAGTCCTGCATTGGGCTGGCTTCTTGCTCAGCTGGGAGTCTACTTCTCCCTCTCCCACTGCCCTTCCCTCCTGCTCATGCTTTCTCTCTCTCTAATAAATAAATAAAAACCTTTAAAAAATGGTGATTATGAGAACCAGAAAGTGACAAGGCAAAAATGGGGGAATAAAATTTTTATGTAAAATGTGTTTTTCATTATGTTTAAAAATAAACGGAGAAAGCCTTGGGACTGGGGATCTTTTTGTTTTCTGTAGTTTCCAAAGTGTTTATATTACCAATTTTTAGTGAATACATGTGCGTGTATGTGTGTCTATATCTACATCTACATCTATCTATCTATATGAAAGGTGAATTCATATATATAGATATATAGATATATAGATAGATATATATAGATTCATATCTATATGAATGAATGAATGATGAGTTGGTGCGTTGAGTTGAGAGGGCACTATAGAGCCCAGGTGATGGGGCATAGAGGTAGGATTCTAGACACCATGCATATCTTGGAGGGTAAAATTGTCAATCAGAGACTTTCTTGCCTCCTGCACACAGGAACTGTACCCTGAACCCAAGCCCAATTCTGGAGACTTTGGATAACTCTTAAGAGACAAGCAAACTGATGAAAATTGGTAAGTCCTTGGTGTAAAAAAATACACATGGACTGTGTTTAACTCAGAATCAGGTTCATGGGATTAAGCACCTCTCAAACTCCACAGAAGGTTTTAGGGCTGCCTTAATCCAGGATCCTAGGACTTATTCCCCTTTCTGTGGCACCTTCTCACAACTCCCTGGTGAAAGAGGGCTGAGGAGACTAAGACCCTGTCTATTATTGATGGGGGGGCTAAGATCACCCTAACATCAGAGGCAGAAGCTGGGAGGGGACCAGTATATATATATATAAAGGACCATCTTCTGTGGTGGGGGCAGGATATGGAGGAACGGTGTTGAGACAATGTCCCCGGCCACCTGTGCCACTTGAGCTTTTTGCTAGGGCTCCCAGAACACATATTTCAAATATACTCCACTCTCCATCCTTCTTTCCCTCTTTCTTTCTCCTCCCTCACTCCCTCCTTTCTCTGACTCTCTTGCTCTCTCTTTTCTTCCTTAGAAAGACATTTATTTAGTCCCTACTAAAAAGTAGATAGTGTGTTAGGCTTTGCCTCCTGGTACCTGTAGTTTAATGGGTGAAATGAATGAGCAGATCGGGGAATCACTGGATCGTGCAGGAAGTGCGATACCAGCGGTAAGCGAGGGCAGAGTGTGTGCAGGGGAGGAATGAATAACATCGATTGGGGAGGGAGGACTTCCAGAAAGAGAAGACATCCTAACTGTGTCCTGAAGGCTGCAGAGGGATCCGGCAGGTGAGGAGGTGCAGTTAAGAATGGCCCAGGCAAAGGGTCAGCAGCGGAGGGTCATCCTCATGGGACAGTGTGGCTCTGGTTGTCTGACTAACATAGGGAAAGGCTGTGTGTGTGTGTGCACTGTGTGACTGTGTATATGTGTGTGCAAGCATGTGGATGTATGCCTGTGTGTGCACGTGTGCGGGCGCATGTACAATAAACCAAATGGTCTAATATGTGATCCAGGAGATGAGCAGAGGCAGAAGAGAAAGAGAGAGAGAGAGAGAGAGAGAGAGAGAGAGAGAGAGAAAGAGAAAGGAGGAGGAACAGACATAGAAATGGAGAGATGGGCAGCCCAGGTGGCTCAACGGTTTAGCGCCACCTTCAGCCCAGGGCCTGATCCTGGAGACCCAGGATCGAGTCCCATGTCAGGGTCCCTGCATGGAGCCTGCTTCTTCCTCTGCCTGTGTCTCTGCCTCTCTCTGTTTCTCTCTGTGTCCTTCATGAATGAATAAATAAAATCTTAAAAAAAAACCAACAACAACAAAAGAAATGAGGGAGAGAAGTAGAGAAGAAAAAGGAAGGAGCCAGAGAGAGAGAGAGAAGTTGGTTAGAGTCGTCATCCTTGGAAAACTCAAGAGGTTTCTGTTCTTGACAAATGGACTCTTGGAACTTGGTCCAAGGAGCCTGGCCCTGTGCCTATGAGGCAATTGGAAGAGTGTTGTTCTGCCCTCATTGAACTCACAATCTGTTGAGGAAAGGAGATTACACACAAAGAATAATGCTAAATATTGCAAATTTCAGGGCAGAAAGAGATCAAGCTAGGTGGAAATAGTCAGACAACTCTTCTAGAAGAGGTGAGTGTTGAGAGAACAGGTCTCAGAAGTGGACACTGCTGAGATGGCCTGCTTAGGTCCTGATGGGGTGTGCTGTATGGGGTCTCCTTGCGTGGCTGACAATGCAGATCTGGGTTCCAGGGCTCAGGATGCTGTTGCTACGAGCTGTTCTACTGCTACTAGTCCTGCCTGCTCACGGCCAGGACTCTGTGGCAGAAGGGCCTGGAGTCCTGCTTCCCCTGCCGAAGGGGGCCTGCCCAGGTTGGATGGCAGGCATCCCGGGGCATCCTGGCCACAATGGGACCCCAGGCCGTGATGGCAGAGATGGCACCCCTGGTGAAAAGGGTGAGAAAGGAGATCCAGGTAAGAACAAGTTTTTTGGCTTCCTCCATCATAGACTTCTGGGTAGAAGAGGGCTTCTGTAATTATACAAAGTCATTAGCTATTGACAAAGGTTTAGACACAGGAAGGGAGCAATTTTTTCTGTGACCCATAAGCAACCTATAAAACCAGCACTTCTGACTCTGCTCTATCCACATCACGTTCCCTGTACACTTTCCCACCCCCACACCATCCATCACTATTCCCAATCTGTTCACATTCATGTCTCCCTTCATTTCCACTTAATTCTCATTCCACTGATTTCCACTTAATTCCCGTTCCACCCAGTGGCATTCACACTTAATGCATTCTTATAGCTCGCAGTCCTGCTCCTGGAGAACTCTTGTTTCAGTTAAGAAGATAAATTTAGGGATCCCTGGGTGGCTCAGTGGTTTAGGGCCTGCCTTCGTCCCAGGGCATGATTCTGGAGTCCCGGGATTGAGTCCCATATCAGGCTCCCTGCATGGAGCCTGCTTCTCCCTCTGCCTGTGTCTCTGCCTCTTTCTCTCTCTCTGTGTCTCTCATGAACAAATAAACAAAATCTTAAAAAAAAAATCTAATGCATGAGGCTGTTAAAGATTACTACAAGGAAGTCTATTCCAAATATGCCAGATTGAATGTGGACAAATGCCCAAAGTATGGAACAGAGAGAAAATGCAACGCTCTTAATGAAGATCTGGATTAACAAGGAAGGCTTTCAGGAGGAGGCGGGGCTTGAGTCAGGCCTTGAAGGATGGGTACACGGAATAAAGGAGGGAGTGCATCCCGGATAGAAGGGATAGAAGAGCAAATGTATGGTTGGTTGAGCCAGCATATAAAGGGTTCGCAGGGTGGAGGGTCTAGGATGCAAACTTATAGGAAATAAGGCTGGAGATGAATTTATGGAAGTCTGCTGGGGGATGTAGAAGGCATAACTCACCTCTTTGGGAGCTCCCATTGGTCCCTTGCTCTGTAAGTCAGGCAGGCTGTGGGTAAGGGCCAAAGGGACAGTGTTTCAGGCTAGAACTCACCTAGGCAGGAGTGTTCTGTTCCTTATGGTCACTGAGGTCTTCTCATTCTCTAGGTCTTGTTGGTCCTAAGGGTGACACTGGTGAAACTGGAATAACTGGGGTTGAAGGTCCCCGAGGCTTTCCAGGAACCCCAGGAAGGAAAGGAGAACCTGGGGAAAGTGCCTATGTACACCGTTCGGCATTCAGTGTGGGGTTGGAGAGTCGGATCACTGTCCCCAATGTTCCCATTCGCTTTACCAAAATCTTCTACAATCTGCAAAACCACTACGATGGCACCACTGGAAAATTTCACTGCAACATTCCTGGGCTGTACTACTTCTCCTACCACATCACAGTCTACTTGAAGGATGTCAAGGTCAGCCTCTACAAGAAAGACAAGGCTATGCTCTTCACCTACGACCAGTACCAGGAGAAGAACGTGGACCAGGCCTCTGGCTCTGTGCTCCTTCATCTGGAAGTGGGTGACCAAGTCTGGCTCCAGGTGTACGGGGATGGGGACTCCTATGGGATCTACGCAGATAACGTCAATGACTCCACCTTTACGGGCTTCCTTCTCTACCATGACACCAACTGATCACAACTAACTTAGAGCCTCCACCTGGCCAAACAACCCCAAAGTGAAAAAAACAGTCAACAGGTGTTCAGTGGAGTTAGAAGACTAATTTTGAAAGAAGAAGAAGAAGAAGAAGAAGAAGAAGAAGAAGAAGAAGAAGATTAATTTTTGTGTCTAGTTGGAAAGCTCTGAACATTACTCATTATCTACTCATTCATTCAGCAAGTACCTTTTCAAAAAAAATCATATACTATGTTCCCTGTCCTAAAGAAAACATAGTTCTTGGCCTCAAGGATCTGTTATGTAGTAGCAACGAAAAGTTAATAATATTTCTGGGGGTGCTTCACATATATGGTAAGATAGTGGACTACCAGAAAGTATTTGGCAGTGCTATTCTGTGTTCCACCCTTTTTCCTCACGTTCATGCCAATCCTGGGAGGTGCACAGGAAAGATATTATTCTTCTCATTTTAGTCTTGGGTCCTGAGCCTGAGAGAGTAAGGGAATGCCTAAGCTCACACAGGCATTAAGTGGAAGAGTTAGTAACCAAACCCAGGTCTGTAGGCCTTCTCCACTAGACCCTGGCCTTTTTTTAGGAGTATACGGCCTCTTGAGAGTGTTGGTAGGGGGTCTATCACCCACCTCACCTGAGGGCCTCTAAGTTGGTCTTCATGGTGAATTAAGCCTTTCCCCAGTAGAGCTCCCTCAGAGAAGGTGATTCTATGACTAGGTCCCATCCCAGCCGGACCATTAATTACTCTGTACTTCAAAAAAAAAAATTACTCTGTACTTCTGCTTCTGTGTCTTTCCTCATGCTCTTCTCTCTAGCTCAGAAAGCTACTTCCATCTCCACATGGTGAAATCCTCCCTGTTCCTCCAAACCACCTAGTCAGGAAGCTTCTCTGATGTGCTAGCTCTTTCCTGCAAATTTTCCTCACAACACCGTGCCCCTGTGTCCCTCTACATATTAAGCTGGATGAGAATCCTGGGTTGACATTTTCTACCAGCCTGGAGACAACTGCCTGGAAAGGACTGTGCTTCTTTCACCTCTGAGTCCCTTTACAGGTCCTTGATAAATGCCTCATGAAGACCAATCTCTTGAATCTCACCTCTACCCAGAATTAACTCCAGTTTAGTCTCTTCATATAACTGATCCTTATCTACAAAAACATTTTCATTTTAGGAACTCCCTGAATTTAATCCTTTCCACTGAGTAGTTTGAATTTTTTCCACTAAGGTTTGGGTGTGTTTTCCAGAATACTTAAAGAATTCTCCCTCAAGGGGGTAGCTTGAGCCTGCAATGCAAAACCCACAAAGGAATTTGGAGACGATTCTTTCCTTGAGTACCAACAAGGTCTGGAAAGACCTGGGCCTTCTGAATCTATTCTTGTTCTTTAAGAATTATAAAAGGAAGAAGAGTAAAGAAAAGAACTATCTGAGGTGATGGGTATGAGAGCTAGCTTGATTGTGGTGATTATTTTACCATGTTTATCTATAATAAATCATCACATGGTACATCTAATTATATACAATTTTTAGTTGTCAAATATTTCTCAAAAAAATAAAGAAGTATATAAGTAGTCAATAATGATAAATATCCTCCCAGGAGACAACAGCTTGCGTAACATTTTTCAAAGTCTTTAGCAAAAGCAGAGTTAGTAGCATTCTGTATAAACAGACAGGGGAAGCTTTTTTTTTTCTCCTCCCAGTTTTATCATTCTGAATGATTCCTTTTTGTTTGTGTATTGCTTATCATTAAGGGATTATTATTTCTACATACAAAGCTTCATTTTTAAAAATGTTTGCGCATCGGGGCACCTGGGTGGCTCAGTGGTTGAACATCTGCCTTTGGCTCAGGGCATGATCCCGGGGTCCTGGGTTTGAGTTCCACATCGGGCTCCCCGCAGGGAGCCTGCTTCTCCCTCTGCCTGTGTCTCTGCCTCTCTCTGTCTCATGAATAAATAAAATATTTTTTAAAAATAAAGTAAAAAAAAATGTTTTCACATCATCATGTTATACAAATAAAAATACTGTTTAGCATTAAAAGTAGAAGCACTTGAATCACATGGCTTTTGTTTTCATTTTTGGAGAAAGACATGGGGCTCAGAGGGGGGTGAAGGGGTAAGGGGACATTGCATGTTAGGCCTCTGTGTTATAAATGATGGAAAACAACTGTCAGTCAAGATGGGGGGAAAAAAGGATTCCTTTGCATGATGGAAACTACCAGAGCAGCTATTTTGTCATTGGGTAAGGCTTGAAACAGAGGCTCAAGTGATATCCAAGACCCTTTTCTATCTGTCCTTCTCTGCCGTCAGCAGTGTGGACTTAACTCTCAGGCTCTACACAGTATACGTCTAGGCCTTTCCTCACGATATCAAATAGACTGGCTGGCAGCCTGCCAGCTTTGGCACCCACCCACCACATCATGTGGCTAGAGGGACATTCTCTTTTCTGGTGATTCCCACGGAGGCGGGAGGAAGTTCTCTTTTCCAGAAGCCCCAGCAAGTATGTTCTTGCATCTCATTGGCTCTCACTGGGTTGTTTGGCTGTCTCTGACCAATTACTTCAGTCAGGAGGATGGAGTATACTTATCGACTTAAGTTGATTATGGCTCAAGCTGGAGAAAGGGTATTTTCTCTAAGGCAAAACTGGACACAGTTGCCAGAAGTGGGAGAGTGAATGATGGATGCGAATGCACCTGGTCACCATAAACTCTTAATGTTATGTTTGAATTTTCTTAGGTTTCTTAGATATTGCTGGAAGATTACTATTGGTTTTCTCTAAAATTTCAACAAGTGGTTGATATCTGGTCATGCTCACAGTCCCACGTCTGGGTGGGGGTGGGAGGATCTTCACAGCACTGGACATGGAGTCACTCTCACTTTAAGCTCTCTGGAGCATGGCCAATTCTTTGTGGAAACAGAGAGACCCAAACTGCATAGCCCCTCCTGAGAGGAATTGTGGCCAAGATTTTAAGATTAATGGTCCCATGACATCTTCATGGTCACTTCATATCTTCAAACATAATTATGGATTTATTTCTTTTTAGTTCTGCCAGCTTTTGCTTCCTGTATTTTGGAGTTCTCCTGTTAAGTACATACTCATTTAATATTATGTCTTCTCAATGATTTTACTCTTTCATCATTACCTAATGTCTTTCTTTATCCCTGGTCATTTTCCTTATTCTGAAGCCTACTTTGTCTGAAGTTTATATAGGCAGTCTAACTTTCCTTTGATTACTGTTTGCATCGTATCTTTTCCCACTGTGTTGCTTTAAATCTATCTATATAGTTGACTCTTGAACAATGTGGGGTTTAGGGGCACACACCCTCCACATAGTCAAAAATCTGTGTATAACTTTTGACTCTCCAAAAACTTTTCTACTGTTGAGTGGAATCCTGAATGATAACATAGTCAACTAACATGTACTTTGTATATTACATGTATTATATATTTTATAATATATTCATATAAATATTATATAATATTCTATTATTTATATTACATTTATATTTAAATATATTTTATTCTCTTTTGTTTACTTGAATATTCCATAATATTTCATCTTAATTTATTTATTGGATTTTGGCTGTGGTATTTTTAGTATTTTTTAGTAGTTGCTCTAGGAATTTCAATGTGTATACCTAACTTTTCAGAGTATACTTAGAATTAATATTTTACCACTTCAAATAAAATATGCATGCCTTATAATCAAATAGGATTCTGTGTCCTGATCCTTTTATGTTGTGGTTGCTGTGTATCTTATATCTATATTCATTGAAACATTACAGATAATGCTATATTTTTTGCTTTAAACAGTCTTCCATATTTTAAAGAATTTAAGAGGCCCCAAATACTCTATTTAGCCAGATATTAATCATTTCTCTTGTTCTTTCTTCATTCCTAAAGTTTGGTATAGTCTCCCCTCATCCTGAAGAACTTCCCTTGCCATTTCTTTCAGAACAAGTCTGCAAGTCATGAATTCTCTTAGTTTCCCTCATCTGAGAATACCTTTATCCTGTCTACATTCTTTTTTTTTATTTTTTATTTATGATAGTCACAGAGAGAGAGAGAGAGGCAGAGACACAGGCAGAGGGAGAAGCAGGCTCCATGCACCGGGAGCCCGATATGGGATTCGATCCCGGGTCTCCAGGATCGCGCCCTGGCCCAAAGGCAGGCGCCAAACCGCTGTGCTACCCAGGGATCCCCTGCCTACATTCTTGAAGGATATTTTTGTTGGCTATAGAATTCCGAGTTGGCAGTTCTTTCCTCCCAGCACTTTTTATTTTTAAGTAATCTCTATATCCAATGGAGGCTTGACCTCACAACACTAAGCTCAAGAGTCACATGCTCTACTGACAGATCCAGCCAGGACTTTTTATGATTATTTATTTATTATTTTTTCTTCCAACACTTTAAAAATATTCTCTCTCTGTCTTCAGGCTCTGAGGTTTTTGATAAGAAGCCTGTAGTCATAGTTTCCCTTACTTGTAACTTATCACCTTTTGCTTCCAGGTGCTTTTAAGGTATTTTCTTTACTTTGGCTTTGAATAGTTAATGATATATCTGGGTATATATATTTTTTTAACCTAAGCTGATGGGATTCATTGAGCTTCTTGAGACTGTAAATAGGTGCTTTTCACCAAATATGGAATGTTTTATGCCATTATTTCTTCAAATATATATTCTGAGTAATCTTTCTCTTTTTCTGAGATCCCAATGACATGAATGTTAGATTGATAAGCACCTAAGGTTGCACTAATTTTTTTCTATCTTTTTCTCTTTGATCTTCTTATTTCTCTTGATCTATCTTCAGGTTTTCTTCCCTCTGTCATCTCCATTCGCTATTGAGTGCATTTGGTAGAACTGTGAATTCCAGATATTGTATCTTCTAGTTTAAATTTTTCCATTTAGGTTAAAATTTATTTTTCTTTCTCTGCTAAGAACTCTATCCTCTCATTTATTTCAAGAATGTTCATCTTTACCTCATTGCTACAGTGGGTATTATAAAGTCTGTGTCTGGTAATTTAACTGGGGTCACCTGTTGATTATTTTTTCTTCCAAGTTATTCTGAATTCTGGTTAGATTTTTCTGGTTCTTTATACATTCAGTAATTTTGACTTGTATCCAGAATATTTTTAATATTGTATTATGAGATTCTGGCTTCTGTTAAAATCCTCTAGAGAATGTTGATTTGTTTGTTTGTTTGCTTTTGTTAGCAGGTAATCAGTTAGCTTAGGTTCAGACTACAAGTTTTGTCTCACCTTTTTTGGGTTATGATTCCAATGTCAGTTCAGTTTTCAAACCTTTGCTATGGTATTTGGGTCTATCTATCACATGCACAGCTCTGAGTTTAGCCTCAGACTTTGGTAGTTCAGTTCTTGAAGCTTTACTACACTTCTTTGGGTCTGCCATGCATGTGTACAACTAGGGTATTATAGATATTTGTTTTTTTGCATTTTGCCTAGAAGTTTTGGTTGTAATCAGTGGGAAAGATAGACTGTTGTTGACTCATTGCATCTTGGCTGGCACTGAATATCTTATGTCCCATGATACTCCTGAAGAAGGAAAAGGAGAAGGCATTGAGAGATTGCAGGAACTCCAGGAAGGCATGTAATTTACTCTGAAGTTGATGGAGGTCAAAGAAAAAGTCCAATCTTGAGACAGACTCTTGTTAGAGGGAGAATCTTGGAAGGTACCAAAAATTCCTTGGGGCCAAGTAAAGTCTTGATTATAACCCGAGTCTCTGAATTTTACTGTACATGGAGTGGTTGATAAGAATACATTTAATGATGTGCAGACACTAAAGAAGTCAGCGTGACCCCAGCAACAGGGACCAAAGCAGAAATATTTACCTCCAAATTCAGAAATTTTATTCTACATATAGTGGTTTACTTAGGAATGTTTGGAAATATCCAAGCTTTTAAGAACATTTAGAAAGAACTAGATTTTTTTCTTTTAATTTTTTAGTTTTCACTCAGGTATTTTACAGTAAGTAAACATGATTTTGAATAAAATCTATTATATAAAAACCACATTTTCCCAAAAGTAAGTGAAGCAAGCTCTCTTCACTTTATCAGTTATGTGTGTGTCACAAGCTCAGTGTAAGCAGAATTCCTGGACCAAGAATAAGGTTAGTGTGCAGTTCAGTTTTTGGTTTGAGTTAGGGCTGCGAGATGTTAAGGGTCAGTGTGTGGTAGGTGCTAGGTGTTGGGGACACCTAGTGGATGTTCTGCTATTTCTCCCCTCAAGGTGGGTTACCCCTGGCCCTTCACTTCAAGCAGTGAAGGTGGTCCATTCTGTGGTGCATTCTGACCCCTTTCTCCTGGAGGCTACTGAATGGATGAGTGTAAGTGCTTGATCTAAGCCAAGCCATCCAGAGTCCTTCCAGGAATATGAATTAGGATGGATGCAAAACACAGAGATTCAAGACTCATAGGTGACCTTCTGCCGTGCAGTCCAGAGAGAGAAGAGACTCACCTTGGAGAAAGAAACGGAGAGAAATAGAACTGAAAGTCAAAAGGAAGGAGAAAGAGAAATCTACTTCCAAAATCTTGCCACTTTTTGGTTCCATTCCTTCTCAACACTCAGCTATATCCCTGCCCTTGGGTCCCCTGAGACACCAGTTCCTAGATCTTTGTACAATTTCTCTTTTAACTTAAACTAGCTTGAGTTAGTTTCACCACTTGCATCCAAAGAGTACAAGGGGTCAAGAATTGGTTTGTGAGTGTACTCAGGGACCAGGCTGAGATCAACTTAGGAACAATACTTAGAATTAAGTCACAAGACTGGAATTTAAAATAATCTTTTTTTCAGATAAAAAAGTCATTAGGCCCCATGAAATCAAACTTAGAAGTCCAGCTTTATTTAGATTTATTTTATTTGCAATGAATTTCCTAGCTGGCAAATCTCCTGTGGGCATAGACTTTCTATTTCATCTCTGAATTTTTCAAAATTTTGTTTATTTGTTCATGAGAGACACACAGAGAGAAAGAGAGAGAGAGAGAGAGAGAGGCAGAGACATAGGCAGAGGGAGAAGCAAGCTCCCCACAGGGAGCCCA